GGCGGGATGAAGGGGAAGGGCGAGGGACCCGAGGCGAGAGAGAGGAGATAGAGAGAGAGATGAGAGAGAGAGAGAGAGGAGAGGGAGAGAGAAGGGAGAGAGAGAGAGAGAGGAGGGAGAGAGAGGAGGAGAGAGAGGAGAGGGAGAGAGAGAGAGAGAGCTCGAGCGAGGGCGGGGTACAGGCACCTTTAAGGGGAGGAGAGAGAGGGGACGGGCTTGGGGCACTGAGCAGCGCTGATCGCTGATCGGTGGGTCCTGTAAGGCCTGTGATGAGGGGCCTAGGGGCTCAGGAATGGGGGCTCAGGGTGTCTGGCAGGTGCTGATGGTGGATCGAGCTCAGGGATGGCCGGCCGCAGGCGGAGTTTACCTCCGTCCATCAGCTGGAGGAAGGGAGGACCTGTCAGCCCCGTGGCTGTAACCTGGCCTGGGCTCGAGGGTGGAGACACACACTGGGGCCCGGTGCTCACCCCCAGAAACACAGGCGCCCCCTGGTCCCCACTGGGCACCCCCTCCCGGGAGGGCCCCCATTTCTGCCCACGGGTGATCTGGAGGCAGTGGCCACGGTAACCAAGAGCAAGACAGAAGCAGCAGGTGGATGCCAACGACTTATCTCATCAGAACCAACACATCGGACATAGAATCTCCATGTATCATCAAACACGGTACTGACAGGATGTTCCAAACCCCACAGAAATTACTTTTCCGCCTGGCCAGTGTTGCTCAGTGGATAGCGCGTCGGCCTGCGGACTGAAGGTCCCGGGTTCGATTCCGGTCAAGGGCATGTACCTTGGTTGTGGGCACATCCTCAGTAGGGGGTGTGCAGGAGGCAGCTGGTCGATGTTTTTCTCTCATCGATGTTTTTAACTCTCTATCCCTCTCCCTCTCTGTAAAAAATCAGTAAAATATATTTTTATTTTTATTTTTTAAAATATATTTCATTGATTTTTTACAGAGAGGAAGGGAGGGAGAGAGAGAGAGCACTAGAAACGTCGATGAGAGAGAAACATCGACCAGCTGCCTCTTGCACACCCGCTACCGGGGATGTGCCCGCAACCAACGCACATGCCCCTGACCGGAATCGAACCCTTTCAGTCCGCAGACCGACGCGCTATCCACTGAGCAACACCGGCTTCGGCAATAAAATATAATTTTAAATAAAACTCTTTTTCCTTAGGGAGCCTTCCAAGCCCGGGGACACTTCTGGATGGGATGGCGTCCCTGCGAGGCAGGGCCAGCCCGGAGGCAGGAGCGGGAGCCAGTGGGGCGGAACCGGGGCGCCGCCAGGCAAGCCGCTGTGTGTGGTCCCCAAAGACCGGGAGGCAGGTGCGGGCAGGGACGGGGCAGGGTCCCGCCAGCGGGACCGCACAGGATGGCTGCACACAGGCGACACCTCCCCTGGCCGAAGCCGCACGTTGCCTGTTGCCCGGGGTGCGCTGAGGCAGGAGGCAGAGGGTCCCGGAGGCCCGGCTGCCCTGCGCCCGCCGCCCCGCCTCCTCGCCTCCCCCCTCTCCCGCCCAGCCGCCCCCTCCGATCCAGCCCCAGGTCCCTGCTCACGGCCCCGCCCCGCCAGCGAGGGCTGCGGGGCCCAGGCCCAACCAGGAGGCACCCACCCACCCGCAGTGTGTGCTCGGAGCAGCCTGTGCCAGGGCGGGTGGCTGGGGCGGGCTCACGCTGGGTGGGGCGGGGGGGGGGGGAGGGCAGGGACCCGCGGGTGGGGGGAGGTGAGTGACAGGCAGGAAGCGGCAGGAAGGTGACAGATCTCAGATTTCCTCCCGCCCCCTCCGAAGAAAGCACGAGCGTGCATCCCACCCCCCACACCCAGCCCAGCTCTTCAGACCATTAATTCTGAAAAGATCAGGAAATGGAAACTTAAAGAAATCTCAACCCCCGGAGGGAGGGGCCTAGGCGGTCCCAGCAGCGGCCCCACACGGCTCCCGGCTCTGCCTCAGGACGCATCCACCTCGTCACCTGGGACCCCCCGCTCCCCAAACCGGAGATGTTCAAGGAGGAGCACGAGGTGATCAACATGGGGGCTCCCCAGCACCCCGGGACCGTGATGTCCACCGTGGTCAACGTCCACAGCGACACGGTGGTGCCCGACCACATCGTGTGGTCCCTGTTCAACACCCTCTTCTTCAACCCCTGCTGCCTCGGCTTCGTGGCCTTCGCCTTCTCCGTGAAGGTGGGTGTGTGTGTGGGGGGGGGGGGGCTCCCCGGAAAGCTGTGCCAGCCCCCCGTCTGCTGGCCCGACGGCCTCGGGATGGGAGCCCACGTGTGTGTGTGTGTGTGTGTGTGTGTGTGAGTGTGTGAGAGTGTGTGTGTGTGTGTGTGTGTGCTCGTGTGTGTGTGCGCTCATGTGTGTGTGCATGTGCAATCGTGTTTCTGCTATCGTGTGTGTGTGAGAGAGAGAGAGAGAGTGTGCTGGTCACGGTGAGGCTGCCTGGGGACGGCAGGATCAGCCTTTGTCCTGGGACTCCAAGGGAGAGCCTGTTGATCGCCCAGAAAGTACACTCCTCTGACTCACCATGTGGCGGGGGGGGGGGGGGGGGGGCTGAGGTTCTGGGAGGCTGAGGGCTGTGAGGCCCCCCTGGCCTGGCCTGGCCTGGCCGCTCAGGCTCCAGGGAACAGGAGGGGTGTCTGTCCTGGCTGAAGGCAGGTGCAGGCTGGTCTGGGCGGGAGCAGCCAGGGGCGGCCTGAGTCACAGCACCTGGCTGTGCCCAGGGCCCGCCCAGACCCTCACCCTCTCTTCTCCCCCAGTCTAGGGACCGGAAGATGGTGGGGGACGTGATGGGGGCCCAGAGCTATGCGTCCACCGCCAAGTGCCTCAACATCTGGGCCGTGGTCCTGGGCCTCCTGATGACCGTTGGACTCATCGTTATGCTGGTCATCCTGCTCCCGGGAGCCATCCGTGCAGCGAAGGCAAACTACGGAGGCGGCTTCTAGTCGCCGCCACGGCAGATGCCGAGTCCTCCCCACCCTCACCGCCCGCGTGCCCCCCCCCCCCGGCGCCCACCCCTTCACCTGCACCTGTGCACACACCTGTCTGCAGCTGAGCTCAATAAAGCATTGCACATGGCCATGCTGGCATCCCCTGGGTTAGGGCACTGCCCGGTCCCCCGCCCGCCCGAGGCAGCCCCCCTTGCTCAGATGTCCCTGGTTTCTGGCCGCCAGCTGGGAGCAGCGGCTGGACCAGGGGCCTAGGAGTCCCTCCTTCCCAGTGTCTGACCCTGACCCACGGGCACTGGGCCAGACACCCTTGGCCCCAGGACAAGCCTCACGGGCTCCCAGTGGCTGGAGCAGCGGTGCTGGGTGAGGGCGGCGGCCGGTTCTCTGGAGGCCGCGGTGTCTGCATGTGGGGGCAGGGGTGCAGCCCGGGCCCCTGGCCCGCCTCAGCGGCCCTCCAGCTCTGTCCCTGCTCCTCTGCAGGGGCAGGTTAGGGGCAGCCAGTGGCCCGGGAGGGGCAGAGGCCTCAGCCTCGATGGACAGAAACCCCGAGAGGAAGCACCGGTCCTCCCACCCACCCGCCTGGGCCTCTGGCTGGAGCGGCCGGTGCGGGAGGGGGGGGGGGGCTTTGGCCGAGCCTTTGCCAGGGCCCGGGTGCCGGTGGGCTGGAGCCGTCCTCACCTGGGCCCCAGGCCCTGCACCGGCGCCGGGAGAGGCTGGGGCCAGGCGGCGGGCTGGTGTCGGAGGTGACCCTCTGCAGGAGCCTTGCCGCTGGGCCCGGCGGCCTGAGGGCAGCAGCCGGTCCCCGGTTCTCCGCTCAGACCCGCCGCCGGAGGGAGGGACGTCCACCCCCTGTGACCACCTGCAGCGCCTGATCCGGCCCCGCGGCTGTGCTGTCCGGGGGAGGAGGGGTGCCTGGCCGGAGGGTGCCCGCCCGGGGCCCGGGAGGATGGCCGCAGGGGAGGCGGGAGGCCCCTCGGCGGAGGGAGGCTGCGCTCTCCGGGGACGGGAGGGGCGCCGAGGGCCCGGAGCGGCCGGCAGAGCCGTGGCCTGGACCCGGGGAGCACCTCCCCGCCCGCGCGGGGCCCCCCGCGGGCGCAGGGCAGCGGCAGGGCCGGGGCAGCGGCCGGGCTCGCGGGGACGCGACCCTGCGCGGCCTGAGGTCCGACCGCGGAAAACCGCTGCGGCCTGGCCGTGGGCGGGGCTTTGCGGTGGGCGGGGCTGGGATGGTGGGCGCGGAGGGGACCTGGGCGGGGCCGGGAATTTGCTTGACCCCATTGGCGGGGAGGGAGGGCGGGGCCGGAAGCGGGCGTGGGCCTGGTGGGCGGGGCCCCGCGAGGGCGGAAGCCGGAAAGGAGGGCGGCTGGTTCTCCTGGGGGAGAAGCAGCATTGCGTGCGGCGTCCAGTCCGAGGGATCCAATGGGCAGGCGTGTCCAGGCAGGTGGGCGGGGCTACACAGCGGGAGGGGCGTGGCTAAGTGGTGGGGGGCGGGGCGGGCTGAGTGCTCCCGTCGCCCCACTGAGAACCAGGAGACCCGGAGGCGGGCCGGGCTGGTGGGGGGCCCTGACCACGCCCATTTCCCACTCCCCGCTCACACCGTGGGCGGGACTAAATGGTGGGCGGGGCGAGGGCGGGGAGCGGAAGGATGCTCCAGTAGAAGGTTGGCCTGGCCGCTCTGCATTCGGATCCAGCCCTCCTGGCCTCTGGGCAGCAGGTGCGGGGGGGGGGGGGGGGGGGCAGGGACAGGGGGGCTCGGCCTCAGGGCAGCCCGGCTCTCCCAGGACCCTCCCAGGAGAACACACAGCCTGTCTCACACATGTGCTTTATTGAGCGCCATCGCGGACACCGGGCGTCTGCGCAGCGGGGAAGGGCAGGGCCTCAGTCTTGGGGCAGGTGAAAGGACCCCCCGAGGCCGCGATTCAGAGCAGCGGTGAAAACCACGATGACCGCGACGATGACGGCGAGGACCACGAGGAGGCCCAGGACCACGGCCCAGATGTTGAGGCACTTGGCGGTGGACGCATAGCTCTGGGCCCCCATCACGTCCCCCACCATCTTCCGGTCCCTAGACTGGGGGAGAAGAGAGGGTGAGGGTCTGGGCGGGCCCTGGGCACAGCCAGGCGCTGTGACTCAGGCCGCCCCTGGCTGCTCCTGCCCAGACCAGCCTGCACCTGCCCTCGGCCAGGCCAGACACCCCTCCTGTTCCCTGGAGCCTCAGCGGCCAGACCAGGGGATGCCAGCACAGCCATGTGCAATGCTTTATTGAGCTCAGCTGCAGACAGGTGTGTGCACAGGTGCAGGTGAAGGGGTGGGCGCCGGGGGGGGGGGCACGCGGGCGGTGAGGGTGGGGAGGACTCGGCACCTGTCATGGCGGCGACTAGAAGCCGCCTCCGTAGTTTGCCTGCGCTGCACTGATGGCTGCCGGGAGCAGGATGACCAGCATAACGATGAGTCCAACGGTCATCAGGAGGCCCAGGACCACGGCCCAGATGTTGAGGCACTTGGCGGTGGACGCATAGCTCCTGGCCCCCATCACGTCCCCCACCATCTTCCGGTCCCTAGACTGGGGGAGAAGAGAGGGTGAGGGTCTGGGCGGGCGCTGGGCACAGCCAGGTGCTGTGACTCAGGCCGCCCCTGGCTGCTCCGGCCCAGACCAGCCTGCACCTGCCCTCAGCCAGGACAGACACCCCTCCTGTTCCCTGGAGCCTGAGCGGCCAGGCCAGGCCAGGCCAGGAGGCCTCACAGCCCTCAGCCTCCCAGAACCTCAGCCCCCCTACCCCCCCAACCAGGGCTGGGTTTTCTGAGGACTTTGGTTCTCTAGCCAGAGCCCCGAGGCCACATGGTGAGTCAGAGGAGTGTACTTTCCGGGCGATCAACAGGCTCTCCCTTGTAGTCCCAGGACAAAGGCTGATCCTGCCGTCTCCAAGCAGCCTCACCATGATCTGCACACACACTCTCATACTCTCTCTCTTTCTCTCTCTCTCTCTCTCTCACACACACACACACACACACACACACACACGCATCTTTCTCATACTCTCTCTCACACATACACACTCTCACACACATACACACACGCACACACACACTCACACACACACACACACACACACTCTCACGCGCACACACACACGCGTGGGCTCCCATCCCGAGGCCGTCGGGCCAGCAGACGGGGCCTGGCACAGCTTTCCGGGGAGCTCCCCCCCCACACACACACCCACCTTCACGGAGAAGGCGAAGGCCACGAAGCCGAGGCAGCAGGGGTTGAAGAAGAGGGTGTTGAACAGGGACCACACGATGTGGTCGGGCACCACCGTGTCCGTCTGGACGTTGATCACGGTCGTGGTCCTCGCGGGCATCGCACCCTGGGGCCCCCCCAGCACCGACACCTCGTGCTCCTCCGGGGCCAGCGCGGAGCGGGCGCCCGGGAGGAAAGTCTGGGAGCTGGGGTTCATGGTGCGGAGCCGAGCAGATGGCGTGCAGACCGGATGCAGGAGAGCGGGGCTGTGGTGCTGTGCCTGTTCCTGGCAGTTTCATTTTCCCCAAAGTTGTGTCCTGGCTGAGTTCCTGGAGGGCGTGTCGGGTTGCACAAGAGGCGGCAGAGAGAGGCCTGGGGGGGCTAGGGGGGCTTCCTGTCCTGGTCACTCATCAGGCCTGCCTCTGCTCCCCCAGGCCCTGGTTTAGGCTGGGATGGGCCGCTGGGCTGCGTCGCTAGTGTCTGGAGTCCCCGGAATGGGAGCCTTGTCTGGCCCTGCAGAGCCTGCTGTGGGGTGGGGGCTGTGTTGGGTTTGTCAGCCAGAGACGCTCTGAAACGGAGTCAGTCCCCTTTGCCAGACTCTTGCCCAGGGTCGGGGAGTCCAAGCCAGCCTCCTCCGGGCAGCTCCTGGCCTCCCACAACCTGGCTGGTGTTCACAGGAAGGCAGGGCGGGCGGCCAGGTGGACGGACGCAGTGGAGGTCTGAGTGGCACAGATTGGGGCGCCCCCCCCCCCCCCCCCGCAAGGAGAAAGGGAGATGGAGGGAGAGGCAGGTGGGCGGGCCGCGGCCAGCACAGGAAACGGGAATACCTACGTCTGAACAAAGAAGGCTCCCTCCCTCCCTGCTGCGGGCGGCACTGGCTCCCGCCCACTGCCCGCTACGCGGCCTGAGGGCTCAGCGGCTGGGCCCAGGCAGGCTTCGAACCCGAAACGTCACATCACCCAAATCAAGCTGCTCCCCGCCCCTTCTCCCGGGGATCGGGGGTTTGATTCTCGGTGACAGTCCGCGCCCAGGAGGCCGGACGGGTCTGTGACCAGCAGCCCTGCTCGTGGCCATGCCCGTCCCTCACCTCGCGCACACACGCCAGGAGCTGGTTCGACGGCAGCGTGGGCCTTCCGGGGCCGCTCTGGTCCCTGGGGGGTTGTGTGCAGGGGCTTCACCGGTTATTACTTCTTCCTGTATGCGTGTGTGTTTTGTTTTAATCCTCACCCCAGAACGTGTGTTTGTTGTTGTTTTCTATATGTATTGTATTTTATTGATTTATTTTAGAGAGGAGGGAGAGGGACAGAGAGGCAGAAACA